AAAAGGACTGTTCTCCGAATTCGGCATCAACATACAGTTCGTGATCTTCACGCAAGTTCTCCGGATTCTCATCGTCTAATGCCGGAATGGAAACATCATGCCACTCATCGTGATCACGTCTAACCTTTGACTGATTCACACGTATCACTGCCTTACCAGTATTGGCTTGGACCATAGCTCCTTCTTGTCCAAGTACTGTGGCACGAACCCAACGTCCTTTATCCTTGAACTTTGATGAATCCTGAGTCCAAACAAAAACCTTCTCTCCTTGGAAATATGGACCGTCACTTGGCATAGTCCTTCTTGCAAGATCTGCTCGAAGGTCCTGAGCTTGTCGTGCTTCTTGATGAGCTCTCAAAGCTACACGTTGTAGTTCCAGATTTGTACGATCTTGTGCGGCTGCACTAGCTGACAATTGCTCAGGGCTTGCGGTCTCAAGGTCAAAAAGATCTGGTGGACGTCTTCCAGTTGCTATCTCTATTGGTGAATATCCACTGATAGTCAACTGACAATTTCTTGCCCACACTACTTTCTTGACCACTTCTCTGACCGTAACACCACGAAAACGTGGGTCATCCAGATCTACCTTCATAACATGCCACATACGTTTGAACAAACGTACAGCTGTCTCTGCTCGGTTCGGCCAAGGAGTTCTTGGCCCACAAGGACATTGTTGTATACCATGAAACCTGTAGTATTCAACAAAAGCATCGGTGAAAAAGGCTTCGTCTCCTACGATGGCCTTTGGAACACAGTTGTTCTCATCAGACCATTGCCTCAATGCTTGGATGGTGGTTTGATCTATGAGGTCTTTCTGTGCCGTAGCCCAGAGAAGATTTGTGGCACCATCAAGAACAAGTAAGATGATATACTTGTTCTTGTGAAGTTCAACCTCACAATGATCAGCAAAAACAACATCACCAAAACATGAAGCTCTAATACCGGAGACTCTGGCTCGTGGCGGAGGTGCCACTGAAGTGTTACAAACACGGCAGTTCCTGACAACTGATTCATACTTCTCTAAAACAGAGTCAGGAAGCTTCAACATAGAAACACGTCTACGAAACTGAGTAGGACTCATATGGTAGTGCTTCACATGAAGCTTATAAAGCTCTACCTTGTCCTCCAGTCTCTGTAACATCTTCCTATATGCCGGTGTCATTGCAACAACTTCACTACCAGGTAATGGGATTGAAATCCGCCTAGGCTCAAGAGCGCCATCACCTGGTTCAAGTGGTTCATGTTTATCACTTGATGGTCCTTTTGATGCTTTAGGAATTTCTACAAGTTCACCTTCTGGCCTCTCAGGTGGTTCTGAGGGAGCATACTCCTCAAGATCATCACCCTTTAAATCATTCTGAGGCTCAGATGGTTTTGACTTGTGTCCCTTCCAAAATGGATCAAAACCCTTCGAAGTATACCGAAACTTTGGCGGCACGGGCTTTTCCGCGGCACTGGATGGTGCACCTTCCTTCTCTGATGAGAAGCCTGGTTCCCTGTCCTTTGCAATGGGAACCTTCTCTGAGGAGGAGCGCACCACTGCATCGGGATCACCAATGCCACGGTGCTCAATGCCAGCCTTCCTGATCTTTAGATCTGGAATTTTTGCATCTGGCTTGAACTTAAAAATTGTTCTACCACGCCATTCATAGCCAATTTGTAGGTCCTTCCATTTTGCCTTGCGCCAATCATCTTGCTTCTTGATCTCTTCTCCTCCATCTTTCTTCTTGATGATTGTCAGTCGCAAGTCTTCCAGCAAGTCAGTGTCTACAGGACAGGACTTAGTTGCTGGAAAAAGAATCTTTCTATAATCCTTGTGGTGACGTATCAGTTCTCTTTTGTGAACATCTACTTCCCAGTAGTCAACCACAGGATATGCATGTTCAGCTACATCTTCATCACTATTGTGGTCAACAGAAATATGACCATATTCATAGTGAGTGAAGTGAGAGTAAAAACTCTTCTCTCGCCGAGTCTGCAAATTCACGTCAGACAGATACCATGCAATATCTTGGAAGTCCAAGACAAGATGAGTACTGGCTGCAACCTTCAACTCCAAATATTTGATACCAAGAGGCACCGATGTCAGATAAGCATGTTGAGGTGTCAGCCTTAGTTCAAAGCCTAAGTTCCTCATCTGTGGCAAGCTCATAAGCAAAGGGACTTCTCCTTCTTCAACTATGTCGAACTCTGTATGGTGGATCGTCCATGCACGATCATACATGTAAATCACCAGTTTCTGAGAGCAAGTAGCCTTCTGGGAATTGGCAAAGTAAAACTTGCTCTTGGTAGCCTCAAAAGAGTACCATAATCCACAATCTGGGTGATTGTCGACATAGTTGCAAAAATGGTCGACTGCTCGCCTTGATCCCATAGCTCTAGTGCATCCAATGTCCAGGATTGCAATAGTCGGCGGGAAGCGATTCTCAGTCAAAAATGAAATGGCCTGCATCTCCTTCACTTCTTCCTCAGCGCTCATAAGCGCAAAGCCATCAGGAGCCTTTGTGAGCATCTCCTTTGACAAAGAGTACCTCACAGGGGCACCCATGCCGTTGAAGATCGTCTCACCATTGTTGACCGCGCAGTCAGCTTCATCTTGGCATGAGGTCATCATGCCTGACAGCAAGTTCACCTCACTGTCATGGACTTCAGCTGCTGCCGTCACACAATGTGCAAAGAAACCTTGTTGACCTCCTGATGCTTGTGAAGTTCTTGAAGGTGCAGGTAAAGAGCGTGACTGTTGTTGATTTGCATAGTTTGCATCTTGTTTGCCATCTCCTTTATCTTTTCCTTTTCCTTTCTTGCCTTTTCTCTTGCCTTTTCCTTTTCCTTTGTGGGAAAACCATGCTTCTTCAAGCTGTTGCCAAAAGTCATTGGCATCATCATATTCTCCTTGAAGATAGTCATTCATATCTTCGGCAAGGATGGCATCATATGCTACTTGGGTTGACTCCCAAGTGTCCTCATAAGGATTCTCTTCAAAGTATTCATCTGGAAAAGTTGTCTGTTGCTCATCAGCAAAATGGCCTTTACCTCGTCTCTTTCCTTTTCCTTTTCCACGAGGTCTGAAGAATCTGCGGCCTGATCTTCCTTTGCCTTTTCCTTTTCTTCTACCTTTTCCTTTGCCTTTTCTGGCTCTTCTTCCTTGGAATCTCCTTTGGAACCATGAGAAGTTTTGATCATCATATACCCAAAAGACATCGTCCAGGGCATCTAAAAATCCTTCTGTTCCATCTTCTTCATCTTCGGCCCAATAGCCAAATGTACCATCGAGTTCTCCTTCGTCTAGTACGAGAAATGATCTTCTACCTCCAGCACCTTTTGGCTGCATCAAAGGATTGTCTACTGAAGTCTTTGTCGTGCAGAACATCTCGATGAACACTGTCCTCAACTCTGTTGTAGTATATTGCTGCAGGACCCTGCCACGATGAGTCATCAAAGAAGTCAAAGTGTTTCGCTGGTCCTGAGACAAATCTGCAAGTGACAGCATGAGTAAGGCAATGAGATTTTCTCCTAGAGGAAATTCATTCTGATGAAAAGTCCTCATATTGCCATTGATGGTCTGCATGATTTCCTGAATCCTTTCTGCCGTTGGTGCTACTCCAGTCAACGCTGCATCTGCCTGCATCTGAGCTAGGACTTGTGGATGTGCTTGAGTGACTGGTTCTAACATGTCCATCCAACTGCTCATAAGCCTTTGGAGTAAAATCTGGAATCTTGTCATCCATTTCATCATGTCAGCTGATCCTCGATTGAAGCGCACAAATTGCATAAATCTATACAGGAATACATTGGTTGATCCTTTCACGAAATATGGTCGTAGTACTCGTTTGAAATATTCTACGCCGGCTCCTGGTGGATCATTTGCCTTCAATGCATCTCTGTCTAAAACACGCTTGTATACAGCTGCTTCTCCTTCTAATCTGTTTCTCAATGCTGGTCCTCTCTTCTCATCTTCCAGCTCGGTGATATCACACCAATCGTCTATGGCATCCTCATAGGAAAACCATGAAGTCTTTCCATCATAAGATGGGGGCACCTTTGTAGTGACCTGTGTTGTCATTGCTATTGCTGCTGGTTCTCTTCTCAAATGCCTATTCACGTAGGCTGCTGGCTCATAAGCCACATCCGCATCAGGCTCTTCCCAGTCGTCTATCCAATCCATGGCTGTTTGCCCACAAGCAATTCTATGCCTAGGAAAGGAGCTCACCTGGGTCTTCCAGGATCACTGCTCCGCTACCACTAAAAGAGTGACTAGGGCGTACACGGTAGAGGTGCAGACCGCTAGTGTCTTTTATGCGCAGAGTCTTATCCTATATCTCTTTGAGCCTTGAAGCAGTCAAGCATGGACACACTATATCAGCTGTTGGAGTGGAACCCTGTACAGGTAGGCTCTACTTTTCAGGGGGGGGGCGGGGTGGGGGGGGGTCTTCGACCTGAAAAATCAGGGGTTAGGATTTGCACCCGGTCGAAAGAAACCTTGCTATTGCAAGAGTAACTCCAGCTAGCTTCGCTAGCTTTCGTGATATATTGATCCATAAGCGGAGTGCAAGCCACCTGGTTTGGTCTTCGGATTTTGATTCTCCTCCGAAATCGGGGTCGTCTTCCCATCCACGTAAACATGCTGATTGGGAGTCTAACAAGCGAATGACATCACCCCGCACCGCGCCCCCCCAAAAAAAGAACATGCGACTGTTGGAGGAGACTTCGACATTGCCTGAGATTAGCGGTCACTCAGTCTTGATCGTTCCGTTTCGTTTATGGATGTTTTGTGGCTCCCAGGTAGTGCGGGATGTCTTCCATTAGGCAATTCTGCAGGGAAGCGTTCATGGGTCTGGTCTGGACTCGTAGGATGTTTCTTCCTCGGAGTCTTTTCCTTTTGAGCCACTTGGAAGTAGGCTTGTGACAGGTCCACCCTCTGCTCATGCTTCCAAAAGCAGGGTCCCTCCTCTGGGCCCTCTGGCCGGGGGGGTGCACCGCAAAGCTGTGCTCGACTGGTCCTTGAACTTCTCCAGGGAAGGCTTCAAGGCAAAAATATGCGAATGCCAGCCAGGGCCTCCGTCTCCGCACGAGCTGCGCAAGTTGAAATGTAGCACGAACTCTGGGAGCCTATGCTGATGGTGATGGATGGTGGGATTCCATCATCCACAACCATCCATGTGATCATTGTATTTCATCTTTTGCTTTTTACGTTTTAAGATTTCATTATGTTTTTATCTATAGCTCTGTCATCGTCATTTCCTGTTCAACCCACTTGAAAATGATGTAGCCCAGCGTCCCCCCAATTACCTATTCCAGTCCCTCGGATAGTCTGGGACCCTGGGACCTCGCATCCAATGATCAACTCAGGTTGAGCCGTGGAAATTTGGGGCCCTCTGTCACCCATACCCGTTTTCATCTGGGGGGGGTTCTCAACCATCGTCTTCCACATGAACACTGCGCATATCTGCGCATGCTGGGCCAGATTCGCCGCGACTTTCGCTCCTTTTCAGGGTTCCGGGTCCCTGGCGGCGGCGACGGGGCTTGGAAAATGAGGCCACTGCGTGGGAGTGGAGCCCCAAACAAACAAAGCCCATCGCAAGGAACAGTTCAAAAGGGCCGAAATCTGGGCCGAAATACGATGCATGACGACAACAGCTCTCCCAAATCAGGCAAGAAAAAGCCCTTTAGGGTGCCTACCAATCATTCATGCTACTCTTGAGACACGGTGCCTTTTGAGACACGGCCCCAGAGGCAACTCATGTTTCTGCGCATCGGGCAGCATTCCGAGTTGCAGGTCGTTCTACTTCCCCCCGGAAGACGTCCGGGGCAAACATGGTCCGGAACTCCCGCATGGTCATTCTCGTCTCACGATCCTGGCTATGCAGGAAGTCTACCACGTGGCATCTCACGTCTGGAGGCGCATGCTGCGCAAAGTCCATGACCGTTCGGCCACGCGAGGTCGTCTGCTCCGCCTTCGCGCCCTCTTTCACCAAGAAACTCAGCATCCGACGTTTGCCCAGCCGAGCGGCGAGATGAATGGGATAGACCTCCTCTTCCTTGATGAGGATTGAATCATTCACGCCCTTGAACTTGTGGCGCTCAAGGAAGCTCCTCACCTGAGCTTGCTGCCGCTCTCTCCTCCATCCAGAACTGCGCGTGTCCGCTCTTGTTGCGCTCATTCCGCCAGATCGATCCCGTCGTGTCATCGGGGTGTTGGGAGCGGTGCTGAGATCACCAAGGTCCACTTCCACACTCGAAGCTGACACGCAATCATCAGAGAACAAAAGAGGAGGAGGCACAGTGGCCAAGATTTGCAGGCTGCCAATGTTCATGATGAGACTGAGCCAAAACACCTTGAGCCAGTCCGGCGTGCATGGGAGAAAAAACCATGACAGCGCCCTTATGCCCCCTTTAAAGTTCGAGTGGCACCCTTCATCTGAAGGTTTGCCCCCAAACTTGGAGGAACACCTAATCCGACTGGCTTGTACGGAATGACAATAGGGTCTTGATTGAAGGAAGAGGCACCAAAAAACTGCTACAGTATGCCTCTCTCTGGTCATTCAGTGAGTTGTAGTTGGAGGGTCTGTCTTATAGTTTCTCTGATTCAGGGACTCAAGCTCCACCTGCAGGTCCAGGTGGCACCGTGTCCGCTTCAAACCAAGCTCCCACACCCCCACCCTGCCAGCATGTTGGCCTTCCACTAACGAATCGGGTCCCGAGGGGCCTGATGGGTCCCACGATATTCTACTAGGGTCCAGTGGATGATGATGCTTAGGTTGTAGCATACCAGTGATGCCGGTATTCTCTTGGCGGTCACTATACCTACCATCGAAGATGGATGAACATGGCAGTTGTACGAGTCACAGCCTCAAGGCCAAAAGCCCGTGTTCACCGGGACATGGGTCCGGTGGTTGGGCAGGATCCAACTCCCAGCAACAGTGGATGATGATCGTTAGTGAAGTATAGTGAAGTCCTTTCTCGAACAATAGTGATCGGCTGCAGTTCTATATCTGTTGACTGTTCATGAATCAAACCTCACATAGACACAGAGCGGGCTGTAGAACTGGTCTGGTGGGCGGGGCGTCCTTCCGCTTTATTCAACCACCATCTACCTTCGTTTGATCCTCAAAGCAACCAAAACGTCAAAACACCGACGGATGGGCCTGAGGGGTTCGGGTCACTGAGGAAGCTCACGTTCGCTTCCTTCAATTCCTGGCACGCGAACGGGAGGGCTCATTCGAGCGGGGTTGGATGTGACTGATGGGGATCTAAATCTTATCTTGAAGGTATGCGGTCAGCTGATCCAAATCTAGCACATGGACCTCACGGGATTCACACGCGTTCTTGCTAGTCTCCATGCTCTGCAGCACATTTCAAGCAGGTATATACATGCATGAAGACCCCTTTACATCCCTGTACCGCCTTCCACGCATGGGCACTTCCAGGTCTCCCATAGGGTCTTTCCCAACCATTCTGGTCCGGTCGAACTCCTCCATGGCAGCCGCCGGCGAGCGGCCGGCGAAGCAAACATCCAAATCCACATGCAGCACCAAATCCTCAGATTTCTTTCGCCTGCCTGAACGCGACGAGACAAATACATAAGAATCACTGACTCTTGGATGGAGGAAGCATTAAGAAAGCTTGCCAAATAGAAGACTTGGCGGATCCTGGACACTTGTAAAAAGTCCATCACACTATAGGCACTGGAAGTCGCAAGTGAGTCCTGCAACAAAAAACGATGCAGTTTCACGTTCGATGAAACCCATCTTTCGACCTTAAGCCCGTTTCGACAAGACGGTGCCGGCTGGGTGCCCTTGGGCAAATGTCCACTGGACGGCTTAAACCGCATCAAGACCCGCCAGGTGGCTGAAAAAAACGAAACATCTGCCATGGGTCATAACTTAAAGAGTACTTAAGGTTACAAGGTTACCTGAAGCCCTTGCGTTTTTCTCTTATTCCGAGTCTGGGCACATAGGCCAAGGCCTTCCAAGCAAACAACTTGAAGACCGTGGCCCAGCCATCGCGGCGTCCATCACACTGCTTGCAACATTTGCTCTTGATGAAGTCAACCTGCAAAACATAGAAACAGGTTGACTTCCTTGCTTGTCACAAGCAATCTCATGATGACTACAAGCATCTTAGCATTAATTGATCAGTTGTCCAAAAGCTCCCATGTTCCTTCAAACAAAGGTCGTGAATCATGAGCATGATGAGCAGTTGAGTTTATGTGTGAGACCTTGCATGGCGCACCGACACATGGACAGTAATCCGATCTCCGTCCTCTTTGGAGTAGTCCTCAATGATGAATCCAAATCCTGATCGCTCAGGGATGCATTCAGCGGCACGGCGGACGGCGCAGGGCGCAGTGCCCCGAACCGCTGGGGCTTTTGCATTCACTGGCACCTCTGAAACGCTGGGGGTCAACAGCTGTCTAGGAACGACGTCCATGGAAGGAACCCACACAAAAAAAAAAAAGACAAGAAAGAATCAAGGATCATCAAGGGCATCCAGGCATCCACAAGACTGGCAAGGGCATCCAAGAACATCAATCTCTCATTTCCCAAGGTCTGCGACATCCACGACACCAACATCCCGTGGCATGATTGAGAACGGTTTTTCCTTCTATGACGTCATGACGCTTCAACTCCAAACCCCTGGCCCACCCCAGGAACATCAGCCTCCAAATTTTAGATCATGCATGGTCTTAAGGTATTTCTTCTCGGATGAGTGTGGTTCTGGGTGCTGCCACAGACCCATCTGGGTCCATCCGACCACACCAATCCATGCAGGATGCGCATCAGCAGACTCAACTCGGACTCCTCACTCGGAATCGCAAGAAACGGCGATCCGGATTCCAGTCGGACGAGAAAACGCGGCTCTTATAGTGCGAACATGAATAAACATGGGACCAAAACTGTTCCAAGCTCCGCGTTCACAGCACGTTCACTCAAATCAAAGTCGAGTGAGGAGAGGACGATCTACTTGAACAATCAAAAAAAAACGCCACTAGTAGCTTCTTATTACTAGTAGTAAAGCACTTAGCTACCAAATGCTACCGGTAGCTTCTTGCTACCAGTAGCGATTGCACCTTGTGACTAGAATATGTGGCAAATGTATTGCAACATATTGCAACCACCCGTTCCGCTCCAAGACTCCATCAAGCCACCACCATAAATCAAATGGAAGGGCAGTTGCCTTCCGAGGCGATCGGCAGAGCACTTCAAACGCATGGCATCCAGCACAAAGTTTTGCTCCTTGTAGTGGTCCTGACCATGCCACGAAGCAATCGGGTGAAGACCCGATTAAGGGCCAATTCATGGCTCGAGATTTGGTTCTCCACTTTGCTGTTGCTGAGGTCCAAGAAAAAGACGACCCAGCGCGCTGGCCTCGTCCAAAAATGAAAAGCAAGTTACTACCAACATGTTCGGATTTGCGGCGTGCAGCTACGCTACGGGTTGTGCTGTGCTCAGTTTGGGTAAGGCTCTAGGTGCCCTCCACTTGTTTTGGTGAAGCTTTTGCTGATGCAAAGGCACGGGGTCGCCGAAGAGATATAGCCACCACCTACACATAAACCCATGATGGAGGGGACTTTTGTTTATGGTGGGCAAGACAGCAAAACATGGTGACAACATGACACGCTATGTAGTACCTTGCTTGAAAACCAAACACGGATTGTTGGTTGAGCAAAGTCCATCGAACTTCCGCTCAGGTCGGTCGCCCGAGCGCATGCCCCTGGCTCTGGGACTCCCATGGTCCTTACCCCAAGAGTGACCCCCACAGGTATCACCAGTCGCTCCTGTGTGTTCACGAGCGTCGCGAACCTCAGGTGAAGTTGCAGAACAAATCGTGCGAACCCTGGCCATGAAACCCAAGACCAATGAGCCGCAGGACTTGCAAAGTTTACTCACCGGCTGTAGACTTGCAATTGCACTCGGTGAGCAAATGCATCTGGGTTACAAGTATGGTATATGTATCGTACCATTGTGGCAAAAAGAATATAAAATTGTATAACACCTAGTTAACCTAAGCCCTGAAAATACTACTATGCTGTTTAGATAAGTCATGGTAAAGTGAACTACGACTTTTATGGGCTAACCACTTAGCTGTTGAAAAAAAAAACAGCTATTGATGTTATATAGCTTTAAAATTTGGATTTCTATGTGCCGCACTGAGCAAACATTGTAGATCACAAAAACAATTATGTAACTTGCAACATGTATGCGCACTTGTATGCACATATGCTGGCATGTTTAAGGTTCCAGCGTCAGTTTTTTAGCAAACTCTCTTTGGCTTTCAAACCAGCGGCTTTTGGCAAAAAACTATTTGTTGATGTTTGTTGCATCATCCTACACATGTTTCTTGCAGTCAAGCCTGTGGGCTACCAGTTGCACGAGGAAGCCAAGCCTGATTGGCAAAATGTTGCACGATTCTCATGGCTATACATGTCAACTTGACAACTTTTTTCTTGCTCGCAATTGCCAACTCAATTTGGCATGCTTTGGGCTAGCTGGCCATATGCTGAAAACAGCCACTACATACCACTACCACATCACCCAGAATTTTCACAACAAACCTACCCCTCAATTTGGAGATATATATTCGGGCTTCACTTACCACAGCATCCGCAGACTCAACCTGTTGGGCCTCCCCCACGCCTCCCTCCGCCCGAGCTGCAAGGCCAAGCGCGCTGGTCCGCCGCCCGAGCCGCCCGCGCTCGGTGCATCGAAGTGAGTGGGAACCTCGCTGGGCCCGACGTCGCGCCGTCCGACGCACGACGTGCCGGGCTTCAGTTCTGGCACCCGGAGAAGGAGCCTCGGACGTGCCTCTGACTCCACTGGAGATTTGGAAAATACAAAGGAATTCCGGAAGTCCTGTTAACACATCGGCATGTGCAACTCTGCTCCCTGGGCACCGCAGGAGCTGCAGTCAAGCCACCAGCCGTGGCTGTACAACAAAGCGCGCGGGCATAGGCCTCTCGGGACTCAAGAGTGACCCCCACTGCCGGTGCAAGTGACCATCTAAGACGTTGTTCCAACTTCCAGATCCCTACAAGCGGAGTCAGCAGGCGATAGGAACGACATGGGATAGGAACGACATATAATATAGCCAATGAATTGAGAAGTCTTTGCTTTGAAGTGATTCCTTTAACTGCCCTATTGCCTGCCCCTGATTCTCCCATTCCAACTGTTGGCCCATGTAACAAAACTTTGCGGTGAATGTTGATGAACATGTAGGTCTCTCTCCATCCGTTGGACATCCCAACTCGGTCCGCTTAGCTCTAGGCACTCAGGTGGCCAGGAGCCAAACGCAGTCTGAAGGATCAAGTGTCGATGCTCTCCCTTGCCACGTCAGCCGGATAGTTAAGCCAACGCGGAAAACTGGCGGCCCAAAAACACCTCGATCTAACCACGCCTCCAAACGAGGGCTCGATGGAGATAAGCCGAGGTCATCTTATTGTTGGCCTGGCAACATTGTGCACAGCCAAGGCTGCCAAGGACAGGACTGCAGGGTGAAGGACCAAAAGAAATCATGAACAATAGTGGCAAAGCAAACAACAACAACAACAACAACAACAACAACAACAGCACCAGCACCAGCACCAGCACCAGCTTCCCTTGATCACTGTTCTCAAGGCTTTTGTTTCCATCTGCGGGATGTGTCTGGGCTGGTTTAGCTCGTGACCAGTCAAACACCTGGTCGAACAAGTGTCCAGAGCCATCCGTCCGTTTCAAATTTGCGGAGACTCTGCGAAACAAAAACAGCACCCTCACGACATGTCTTGCAGTGCAGCATGCCCTTGGAAGTGCTGTCTAATTCAGAGAGAATCGGGAACAAGAAATGTCAAAATGTCTCAGGCACGACGTTTCAATCAGAACGTTCCTTTAAAAAAAATCCCTGTGACCACTGAGGCATGGGATTAAAAAAAAAATCCCTGTGACCACTGTGGCTAGGGTTCAAGCAGCCTCGCAGCCAGTGGATATTTCCTGTGACCACTGTGGCATGGGATAAAAAAGAAATTCCCTGTGACCACTGTGGCTGGGGTTCAAGCAGCCTCGCAGCCAGTGGAAATTCCCTGTGACCACTGCGGCTGGGGTTCAAACAACCTCGCAGCCAGTGCGCAGTGGGTCAGGGCAGACTCAGGGAAGAAAAAACTAAACTGAATTCATCACTGCACACAGACTCCACCGAATCGTGCCCCCTGGTTTGGGGTGGCTTGACTCACGCCATACTGGATTGGGTTCGATCAGGCTCCGCTGAGCCAATCGCGCATGCCAAAGAGCGACCATTCCCCACGATGACGACGGACAATTTTTTTGAGGATTGAATGATTCTTTTCGATGATCTGCATGGCATAGTTCAACTCGCCCAAGTATGTCCTAGGACTTGTGGATCCAAAACACCGGGGCCCCAGACCTTTCTTGGGTTCCACTTGGACACCTCAGGAGATGTTGACCAAAACCACCCTGGAAACACGAAACACGTATTGGTGCGTAAGAGGATCTCATGTGTGAGCCCGTTAGGGGCCGCAGCAGCATCCTGAGAGATGTACTCGGTGCGGGAGTGGAAGGAGTCTCGAAAGGGCAGCCGGTCAAAGAGCAGTTGCGCGGGCAACTTGAAGCACATTTCCATGGGAACCTCCTCTTCCTCAGGAAGCTCCTCAGGCTGCAGGCTAGGCTTGACATCAGTGAGAGAGGAACCCACTGGGCCGCCATGCTCACCCTTTGAAGCCCCGTTCTGACAGCTCATTACAAAAAAGGCCGCCTGGCAGCTTCGGCAAAACCTTGAGCCAAAAAGCTAGTGAGTGTAATCTGGTGGAATCGGAAGGTTTCCTTCTGGGTCATTTCAGCCAAGGTCCAAGGTAAGGGGGGTCTCATGAGAAAATCATTGCAAGATATTATAAATACACATATAGATATGTATGTATGTATGTCTGTCTATGTATGTCTATGTATGTCTATGTACGTCTATGTATGTATGTATGTATGTATGTATGTATGTATGTATGTATGT